GAACAGACAAAGAACAAACAGAAAGGCGACCGTTTGAAGGGTCGATGAGGTTGTGCAGCAACCAGTTTCCTATAAACTAAGATTGTGCTTACCGTGGGATGCAGCCACCCAATCCAATCCTAGGACCTTACCTAAGAGAAACAATCCATCCATGTGTGGTGCACACCTGTGGTCCTAGCAGGTGGGGTGCAAGTGTGAGACCAGCCTACACAACTCAGCAAGCCCCTGCGTCAGAATAAAAAGGTCTGGGGTATTGCTCAGTGGTAGAGTATCCCTGGGTTCAATCCTCCAAACCAACACCAAAAGCCAAAACTCACATTCACATTAAAACCTGCACACAACTGCTCACAGCAGTTCTAGTCACACTGAGCCAAGCTGGAAGCCCCCAGGTGACCTCCAGGTAGAGACTGGACAGGCCTCCATGCGCTATAACGCCACACAGGGGTGAAAGGACATAGGGCTGGTCCCTGGCTGCTCAGAGCAACCCAAGAGGGCTTTGATAGGCGCACAGAGGCCACGCACCATGAGGTTCCATTTATGCGAGTCAGAAACGGCAAGGCTGGAGGGGAGGAAAACAGGCCCAGGCTGCCTGGAGAGGGGCAGGGTTTGGTGGCAAGGGGTGGCAGGAAGTGTCTGGAGGACTGGCCCATCCATGCCCTGATTGTGGCAGTCCGAGTGCTGGGCGCGGTCAAGACCCAGGGCCAGTACCACACAGCACACGCTGAAGCTTGCCGTGTGTCAGTCAGCAGTAAATCACCTTGCAAGGACAACAAAGGACACTGGCTGGGCCACCAGCAGATAGCGTGACTTCCTGAGGGTGGGGACTGACCTGGCTAGTCTCCAGTCTCTGCCGGAGACTGAGACCAGGGACACAGCCACACATCCACTCCACCCCACCCTACCCACGGAACTGGCCCCTGACAGGCACGGTTCGCAACGCTGGCACGACTTTGCCTGGGGTGGGAATGAAGTGCTGGGAATGAAGGACCAAGCAGGCACTGTGTGGGTGGGAGCACGTGCCACCTCCACCAAGAAAGAAGTTAGACAGGGGAGAGTGGGGTGGGTTCTGTCTGAGTGGCCCAGAGCCGGGCATCGTGCACTCGCCTCTCACAGTAGCGATGGACAGACACAGGTGATTGCAGATGGATCGATAGATACAGACAGGTGGATGGAGCCGGGTGAAACACGTGATGGTTGGAGAGATGAGGGACGACAGTAAATGGAGGACAGACAGACAGACACGTGGATGCCTAGGTTACTGTAACGTGTTTCAAGCTCTATCCCTGAGAAATGGTGTCCCCAGCAGAAAGAGCACACCCAGCTCTAGAGGTCCTGTTTCTAAACACTCTCCCCCAGCAGAATGGACAGTGCTCCTTGGGAGGGGTGGGTTCCAGGCCTGCAGCAGGGACACTGGCAGGAGGTGCTCAGGTAAGGAAGAGGTGGGTTGAGGACACAGGTGCCAATCAAAGGAACTCTCAGGGGCTTTGTAACCTACAACATAAATGAATTGCCACGCAGACATCAGGAACTTAATAAAGAAGAGAACAGGGAGAGGGACAGCTTTTCTTCAATGAGACAGGAGGAGCAGGGTTGGCAGCCCAGACAGCCCAGCAGGGATCCTCACTGCAGGAGTTCTGCTCTGGGTGCTGAGTCGGAGCGCGCGAGTTTACAAAAGGGTATTTGCACGGCCTTGGTGTATCTCCCCTACTAGGTGTATGATTACCTAGGCCACCTATTAGGTAGGGGACCCAGTAGGCTCCCTCTTAATGAAGGAATGAAGGATAATGTCACTAATGATAAAACGTCTTGACCTCAGCCCTGACCCCGTGATGGACTGAGGGTCATCCCCGACCTCGTGCAAATCATGAGGAAGAGGAAGTGTCCGGCAAACCAGGTTGAGGAACCTCCCCCACACGGCCTGTTCTTAGCAAGAGCCCAGGTAGAAATGGGGAGGAAAAGTAAGAGACAGTGGCCTGAGCGTGGCGTGGACCCTGCAGGAGGAAGGGGGGCTGCAGTAGGGGACCGGCTCTCTGGAAGGCCTTATGATTGCTTTGCATGGAACCAGCTCAGGAGAGCTGGGCGAAGCATCTACAGGAGCTCTGAGCTCTAGTCTGCAACTCGGCACCTACAACTATTCCAAAATAAGGAGTTTTTCCACAGCTACTTGAGGTGAAAGGAACTTCTTCACTGGAAAGGACAGGAGCTTCCTGTGCTGTGTTTGCTGTGACCTAAGAGGTGCCTTCTCTGGCTGGCGGGGTTGGGGTCCTGGGCTGGGAGCCAGGATTACAGAGCAGAACACTCCTGTGTAATGCATGGAGACTGCTCTTCCTGACATCCCCCGCTCAGGCTGGAACCTGGCCACCTGAATGTCCTGAGAGGGAACCCAGGATAGAGCAGCCTGCTGGGCAAACCAGCTGCCCTTCTGGCCATGTCACAGCCCAGCCCTGCCCTCCCCACTTGGGGCCAGGGGACACTCTGGTGCCTCAGGTTCAAGAATAGTGCTTAGGAAATCAACAAACCTCTGCAGCATCCAACCCTGGCCCCAAGGCTGCTGGGAGTGTGACAGCCCCTGAGCTGAGAGTCGTCCATCTACCTATCTCTCTGTGTCCATGACCTCCACTGTCCCTCCCTGACAACCGTGTGCCCCCCTCCACCCTGACCACCCCAACATGAGCATGCTGGGAGCAGATGGTCCAAGTCACCTCTGGGTCCAGGTCCTGGCTCTGAGCACAGAAGCTGTCAATCAATGCCCAGGTCCTGGAGATGGGTGAGGGCACCTGTGAAGGGGCCCAGCCCTGCCTGCAGGAAACCTGAGAGGCCAGGAGTGCAATTTGAGCTAGCACTGTGCTGCTGAGCACACCCTGCATGGTAGGCTGGCTTTGGGGGTTCTGAAGGCGGCCCTGGTGAGAAGTCCAGCAAGTTGGTTGGCTCGAGCGCCCTCATGTGGCTCCCAGTGGCATGTCCAGAAGGGCTGGGCCAGGCCGTGTCCTGCTGCCTTCTAGAACAAACTTCCAGGTGAGTGTCCTGGCTAGGGCCTGTGAATGCTGTGGGATGCAAGGACCACACACTGCCCTGCACCCGGGGCCAACACAAGAAATGGCCAGAATGTACCGTGGAAGACTAGGGAGCATCACCCACCGGCCCCTCTGGACAGATGGGTGTTACTCTCCTCCTGCCATTTCACACCCGCCTCTCCCCCGCAGAGCTGCCTGTCCTGGAGAGGAGCCCATGGCCCTCAGATGGGGATGGGTGGGGAGGTGGACCCTCACCGAGAGGCTCACAGGGTGGCCTGCCTCTGCCACCCAAGAACCTGCTCACCTCCCCCAGACCACGTGGCGGGACTCCAAATACCCCCACTAGGAAACCCTGCTTGTAAAGAGAAGCTCAGCCAGAAACCTGCCCACCCTGGTCCTGCTGCAGCTGCAGAGCCTGACAGAGCTGACCGACACAGCCACAGGTGCTGAGGCCAGGGACAGGGACGACGGAGGGAGGTACGCGAAGGAGAGAGCACTTTGACGGGCCGGCTGGGAAGAGACTAGTCTGTACCACATGGGGACGTGTGTCGGGGTTCTGCCCGCCACTGTGCACCTACCCACCCCACCAGCACATCTCCCTCCACTCTCCACAGGAACCCCGGCCCCAGCCAGTGGGGGCCAGAGAGGAGCTCCCCACCAGGCCTGGGGTCTGTGTCACGCAGAGCCACAGCTGGAGACGACACTCTCAGCCTAGCCCCTTCGGTGGCCTGGAGGTAGCCAGGGGTAACTAGTCAGGGATAAAGGCTCAGGAGTCTCCCAGCCAGCTTCTTCCCACAGGGGCCTGGCAGGAGGATCTGAACTGGCTGTGCTGCCCACTGACCAGGGCTGGCAGAGGAGCCCTCAGTGGCAGGGTGTGCCACCTACTCAGTGCAGCTTCACTGAGTGGCAGCTGCCTCGGCAGCCCAGAGCTGGCGGCTGCGCTGCTTCACGTCCCAGGGCACTGCTTCCTGTCTGGAGGGACTGGAGGAGGCGCCTGAGGTCAGCTGAGCCCCTCAGTGCCCCAGGGGCCGTCAAGGCCGCACTGGGCGTGGGGGCAGGGCCACGAGCACAGCTTGCTCCCCGAGACAAGGCGGGAAGCTTCCTTTTATAAAGGTTCTGGGGGCAGTGGGTGGGGCTGGAGCTACCCTGGCAGACACGACGGCTCGGGTGGGTCCCCAAAGGGCACTGGCAGGGGGCTGGGGTGTGCGTGGGCATGAGGAGAGGAGGGGGGTCTGCGCATGTGCAGGCAGAGGTGGAGACACCCGGCTCCCTGGCAGAGGGAGACCCAATTCACATTTTGAAGAGTAGAAGCAGCGGGCACATTGACCCACACTGGGACCACCAAACAGGGCAGGGAGGAGGCCCTCCCAGAGGACAGCTGTCCACTCACCTGCAGGCCCTGGACTCCGGGCTCCTCTCTGAGGTCCGTAGAAAGCCAGGTGCTGCTGTCTCCTCCCCTGGGCCTGCTCCTGGCATGCAGATGCTTTGGACAGGGCAGCCTTGGCTCCCGTGGGGATGGTAGCCTTCAGGCCCTGCAGAGGGCTCTCTGGGCTGGGTGTCTGGGCGACAGTCCTCGGCTGTTTTTCTGTGTGCTTTCCTTGAGGCAGGGTCCTTTCTGGGCTCCCCACACTCTCCATCCCGCTCTGGTGGGCCACTATGCTCCTGGCCAGCAGTTCAGGGGCTTCCGCCTTCATGTCTTGGGGTGGGGTGAGGAGGTTCAGCAGTGGCCACAGCCCTCATCTGTCCCCACAGAGATGGCAATGAAACAGAACAAGGGCAGGTGTGGGTTTGTCCTCTGCAAGTGCTCAGGACCTCCGCAAGGGTCACAGCATTGGCATTGTGTGCACCTGAGGTGCCCGGGAGCCTCCTAGGGTTGTCCCCGATGAACCCTCCCTGAATGAGGTCACCACTGAAACCAGGGGCTTCACCCTCTCCTGAGGACAGGCCTGTGTTGTTTCTGAAGATCTTCCTCCAAGAACACTGGCAATTACCACAGGAACAAGAGGAGGGTGGCCCAGGGCTTGCTCCCGTGCAGGAGCGGGCTTACCCCTGCTTGGCAGGGAATGTCACACATCCTCGTGACCAGGATGGGGACTGCTGTCTGAGAGGAGGGACCCCAGGGCCCAGCAGCCAAGGCCAGGCCTCTCCCAGAGAAGCCCCAGTCAGCAAAACTAGTTCTAATCCTGGCTCATCCCTAGCAGACAGTGGCCTCCACTTAGTGTCCCTTCCCCCTCGTCCTCCACAGGACAGCTGTGCAGAGATCAACCCTCTTGGGTCTTCAGGGATGAGATGCAATGTCCTGTCTTGCTGCCAGCACCCACCACTCTCTGGTCCCGCTGAAGGACAGTGGTCCGACTCTGAGGGGGACTGCAACACACAGATGCAGAGCACAGGAATCAGAGGGGCAGGGGCCATCTGGGAGGGCGACCACTGCTCTCCAGGAAGGGCCTTCTCGGCACCCTTGGAGCCTGGGGCCCACAGACCAAGAAAACAGGATGTGGTGTCCCTGCTCATCTGGTGTGGGTGGGAGGGGGTGACCAGGCAGCCAGAGGCCCGTGGGCTGCTACCGTTCATGTGGCTGTGGGAGAGCCCATGTGTCAGGGGACACAGGACCCAGGCTGGTGCTGGGGAGCTACCAGAGAAAGATAAAGGAAAGTCACAAAGTAACTGTTCTACTGCAGAAGAGGCTGCCTATTGTCCAAAGCTGGGTCTCCAACCCTGGGGCAGGCTTGCCCTGCACCCTTGGTGGACCTTACCCTGGGAGGGACTTGTGGCTCTGGAGGGCACAGTGGCATTCTAAGGGGCTGCAGAAGTCCTGGAGGGGCCCTCCAGCTTCTCAGACTGCAGGCAGGCAGGTGCCACTGTGGTCTCTCCAAAGCAGAGCGGGACCCTTGTCCCAAATGCAGCCTGTGAGGTACTCACCACATCAGAGGGCCAAGGCCAGCTATGACCAGAGAATGAAAGCTAGGGAGAAAAACAAGAACAAAAATAAAAACTGAAAAGGGAAAGGGAGGATGGGGAAACAGAGGAGAGAGAGAGAAAAAAGAGTTTGTAGAGCTTCTGGCAAGAAACGACCGGTTTCAGACAGTAAGATGGGGGCTGGCTGGGGAGGGCTGGCACCTTCAGGGCACACTGTGGGGAACCTGGGTGCTGCCGCCCCAGGATGCACTCAGGGACCAGCAACGTCCAGAGCTGGGCTGGGTGTGCAATGGGGGCCCACACCCACCCTTCCCCTGCACGACAGGACAAGGTGAGCCTCTGAGAGTCAGAGGTGTGGACAGCCAGGTCCCCAGCATGGCAGGACAAGGTGAGCCTCTGAGAGTCAGAGGTGTGGACAGCCAGGTCCCCAGCATGGCAGGACAAGGTGTCTGATCTGAGGGTCAGAAGTGTGTGCAGCGGGGTCCCCACACCCAGTGCATCCCCAGCATGGCAGGGCGGGGTGAGCCTCTTGGGGGTCAGGGGTGTGGACAGCCAGGGCTCCTACACGACAGGGTGGGGGAGCCTCTGGGGACTGGGGGTCTACGCAAGAGAACAAGCAGGCGGCTGTGATGGCTGCAGCCTCACAGACGGATTCCGGGTGCCTGGCAAACAAGATCTCCTGACAAGACTTGGGTCATGGTGCCACTCTGAGCCATCAAATGCAACGACACCCGGCATAGATCCAAGTTTTGAAGCCTCACCTTGCGGGCAAAGCCAGACCCTTCTAGAGAAAGCCTGACAATGAAGAGCTACTTCAGCTGAACCTAGACCCACGCCCTGGACTTAGAGCTGCTCTGGTGTCAGCACAAACAGGCGCCCTGTGGGGATTGCATGATGGAGCTGACACGGGTTTGGGGAGACCTAGGCCTCATTGAGGTTTGTGCCCCAAGAGCTGTGTCCCCTCTGGACCTTACCAGTGTCCCGATCCCTGAAGGAAACCTAGCAGCCCTAGGACCCGTTCCTCACAGTGGATCTGAGCACCCAGCTGAGGACAGCTGAAGCACCGGAGCCCCTCAGAGGAGGCAGTGATCGCCACTGAGGGGCGGCAGGGCTCGGCTGGGCGGTGGGAAGGACTGTGGCCGGGTGCGAGAGAGAGGGCTGCTGTATGGAGGGACCTTTCTTCCCTGGAGGGCAGGGAGCACCCAAGGTGTGTCTTAGGGAGGCCCTGTCCAGATGACAGTCTCCTGTTCCCCCTGGAAGGGACAGATGGGGGTCCCACTGGCCACTTCACTCTTGGAGCTGGTCACTTTGGTGAAATCTGTCCGACAAGCAGTACCATTTGCTGAGAAAAGATCTGACCCCAGAAACCACTGAACCGGCCCCCAAGTTGCATGCAGAGAGAGAAGGGCCCTGAGGGAAGCTGACCCCGAGAGCAAGGGTGGGCCTCCGCCTTGACAGGGGCCTTGACAGCGGCCTGCGTCTGCCAGTGTCAGTGGGGGTCCGGTGTCTGAGCACCACCCGGCACTTCTGGAGGGCCCTGGGCCATTCGACCTCCACACCTCGCTGCAGGGGGAAAGCCGAGGCCTGGGGAAGCATGCCCACTGCGGCTGCAGGCCAGCTCACTGGAGGGGGCTCCTGTCTCCCCGCCCAGGCTCCTGGAAGCTCCCACTCCGGTGCCCCTTTCTGCTCCACTCCACCCTGGCGCAGGAGGGTGGCCCAGGCCGCTCACTGGCTCTGGTGGGAGGGACCTGCTACTCTGTATCCATGATCTCGGAGCTGCACAGAGGAGGGCTGCGATCATGTTACCTTTTCCTCCAGCTCCTTGATCTGTCTCTTCTGAGCTTCTATTCTTTCTTCTAGCTCTTTAATTCTCTGCAATGGTAGGAGGAGGAAACCCTTCAATAATCAGAGTGTTTGAGAAACTGAGCAAATAGGAAAAGAAGGAGGAGGAGGAGGAAGGAGAAGGAGGAGGAGGAGCAGGAAGGCAGCCAGACACCCAAGGTGATGGTGAGGAGTCAGGCCGCTGTCCTTCCCAAGGCTCTTCCAGTAGACCAAAGGGAGGCTGCGGTCATAACTGCTGATCCCAAGGAGAACCTGGGACCCTGGAAGGGACCCTGGGAGCAGCTGAGCACCGACCACAGCTTGTCTGATGGAGCGAGGGGGCTGCAGCGACCACCCTCACCCTGACCACCCTGGAGACCAAGGAGACCAACACAGCAGCTGACCTAGGTCTGCGATCTGAACCTTTTGCACCCTCGCAGGGTGTTCTTAGCGTGGAGCCCCTTCCAGGCACTCCCATGGGAGCTGGGGAGCATGGTGATCACCAGGGCCACACAGGCCACCAGGGTTCCTAGCCTCCCCTTAGAGTGAGACTGGCCGGCCACTGTCCCAGACCACAGCTTTGCCATCAGGGGCAGCACCATGGACACCTGGGAGGCAGCGCTCTGAAAGAAGGGACCCGCCAGGGTCTCGGAACGCAGTGGGGGCCTCCTGTGGTGGGGCAGGCAGTCTGGCAGAAGGCTGGATGAGGCCAGGGCCGTGGCAGGGTATGGGCATTAGAGGGCTTGGCCGGGGGCGTGGCCACTAGACGGTGGCCTGTGGAAGGCGGGACCCAGGCCTCTGGCCTCCGTCTGCGCACCTGCTGGGCCAGGTGCAGCAGCTCCATGCGCTCCCGCAGGATCTGCGCGTCCCTCTCACGCAGCTCACTCAGGACCTGGCGCTTCCACTGCTCCACAGCCACCTGCAGCTTCTCGCGCTCCTCCTCCGACAGCAGCTCGGCCACCTTGGCCCCGGCCTCCTGCTGCAGGGCGTCGAACAGCATGGCCTCCAGCTCCAGGATGTGCTGGGCGGAGGGAGGCGCGTCAGTCCCCACCTTCTCCCAGATGTGACCCGCCCTCCCCGGGGTGGACAGCCCACCTTTCAGGAAGAATAGGGAGGCCAGGTCACCGCCAGCCTGGGGAGGAGGGCTGAGCAGTCAGGGGCCACAGTGTGCCCACAGGTCTCCGGGGAGGATCTGGAACCCATGGGCCACCTTCCTGTCCAGCAGAAGAACCCAGAGGAGGAGAAGCTAACGGGTGGAGTCTGAGCCAGGACCCAACCCCAGGTAGGGATGACACTCCAACAGGCAGAGTGTGGGGCTGGGAGTCACTGGGCAGCATGGCCAGGGAGCAGGTCCTGCCACAGGTGGGGACTCTCAGCAGGGCACACCCCCTCCTTTCTCAAATCTCCAGTATGGGACTGAGGGACCTCCGTGGATCCCTGCAGGGACGCCTTCCCCTTCCCCAACAGCCAGCACTCAGCTCCTAATCCCAGGTGTGGACTTGATCTGGAGAGCGCCCTCTTCAGGAGAGTTCTGATGCGCTCTTTATTTATTTATTTATTTTAAAAAATATATTTTTAGTTGTAGATGGACACAATATCCTTATTTGTTTATTTTTACGTGGTGCTGAGGATCAAACCCAGGGCCTCATATGTGCGAGGCAAGTGCTCTGCCACTGAGCCCCAGCCACCTGATGAGCTCTTTAGGAAAACAAGTCTCAAATTTTCACCAGAATTCTCATTTTGATAGCCCTTTCTTCATTCAGAAACATGTGTTCCCTTCTCTGCAGGCAAATGATTGTGAAAATCCCCTTGGCTGAGCAAAACTTTTAGGAAATGAAAAAAAAAAAAACCCAATTCCTTCTGGGCCTATTACACGTTGCATGGTATTGTTGCTGATGGCCACAAAATAAATGTCCCTGCTGTCCTGCACTCAATCTCACACCAATCACCACCTCTCAGAGCAGAGGGGTTTAATATACTTAAGATGAGCTTCAGCTGTGTGTGCGCGTGTGCTTGTGCAGGGCTGGGGACAACCCGGGCTGAGCATGCCAGGAAAGTGCTCTGCACTCAGCCGCTCCTCGAGCCCCGGCCTTTTAGAACAAGAATGGTTGAGGGAGACCTTGGGAACAACAAGAATGGTTGAGGGAGACCTTGGGATCAATGTCACAGAGGCTCGGCCCACGCCTGCTGGGGGAGACTGATCGCCACCCCCGGCTGACAAGGAGGTGCAGTGCACGAGCCACAGGCCTCCTCTGACTTCAGCAAGACCACACGGCCCCACAGCCTGCTCCAGGTGCAGAAGCAAGGTCTGTACAATCAGCACCCCACACAGTCTTCCTCCTGTAGAGCTACAGAGGATGTGGGGGAACCCAGGGACCCACAGACCACTGCTCACTTAAGGTCACTCTGATCGTTCTTTGTGGCCCTCATGAATGACAGACAAAATATGACAGCAGAGTCTCATCGTACAGTGAAAAGAGCCATGCTCACACATTGAGTGTCAAAAACAAGGATGGCACCACAAAGTGGCTGACCACATCCCTGTCACCACCGTCCCACCATCCCTCCCCCTCAGCAGGACCACCGTGCCCACCACCGTCACCACCATCACTTAGTCCTGCAGCCTAGTTTTCAACCTGGAGGTGCCCTATGCTCATGCCGGCCACAGGGGACTAAGTGGAACCGGACCACACCCTCTGCAGACAAGCAGGCGTCCGTAGCGGAAACCCCAGCAGAGGGCACTGGCTTCCCTGGCCCCTCAGGAGGACGGGGGGACAGTGGCTACACAGATGGCAGCAGTGCTTAGGATTCAGGCTTCCTTCCAGGCCGAGTCCACCCATGTGAAAGCTGCAGGACGTTCTCCTGCCCAGTGTGCACTCAGGCCTTCTCCACCAAGCCTGTGTTTATAAAGGTCCAGGTGAGGCGGCGATCAGGCTGCTCTGGAGGGCAGGGCCTTGCTGGGCAGGTGCCTATTTCTGTGAGTCAGTGTGTGTGGCCTCAGGGAGACAGCTCTGAGGACCCAGAGCTTTCTGGTCCTCGGTTGGGGATATCTCTGTTACATCCCCCTGCCCCTGAGCAAGGGAGGTGCACACAGACTTGAGAGCCTTCTAAGGTCAGGAGGCCACCCTCCTCCCTGACTGGGAGACCTCATCCAGCAGAGGGAGTACCCCAGACCCCAGGAAGCCCACCCTCAGCTCAGGAAGAGCCCCCTGGGCCTGGTGGGGACAATAGAAACAGCTGCTATTCCCAAACTGGGACAGCGGTGGTGGACCAGGCCACCATGACTGCTCTTCACATAGTGACCTTTATTCTCCTAATGACTCCAGGAGACAGGAACCAATATATTTAGTTGCCACAAGAGGCCAAGACACAGACTCAGGCCTCTCTGCTGGCAAGTGGCTAAGCCAGCTGAGCTCGAGGCTCAGCAAGTGTTGGGCAGCGAGGCCATGTTCAGAGATGAAGGCTGAATCAGGGTCAGGCCCTCACTGGTAGTTAGTCCACTCGATGGATTAACAATGTGATGGATTACTGAGTGAGAACTAGGCAGGTAGGGCAGGGCTGGAGGAAGCAGTCACTGGGGATGTGCCTTTGGGGACTGTATCTTGTCCCTGCTCCTGCCTTGCTCTCTATTTCCTGAGTGCCGTGAACCGAGCAGCTTTCCTCCTCCGTGCCTTCTGCCGTGCTCTGCTGCACCTCAGGCCCCGGGCAATGCTGTTCAATGACCGTGGACTGAACCGCTAAAACCATGAGCCCAAAATAAACTTCTCTTCCTCTAAGTTGTTCTTTCTGGGTGACAGAAAGCTGACTAACACACACACAGGCACACACTCTTTGCTTCCTGGCCACAGTGAGGTGAGTGGCTCTGCTGCACCACACCTCCCTGCCATCATAGTCCGGCTCACCACCAGTCCACAGTGCTGGGTCAAGGAACTGTGGACTGCAGTGCTGACCCGGTGAGCCATAAGACACACCCATCTAAGCTGTGTTTCTCAGGTATTTTGTCATGGTGACAAAAAGCCTATTGACACAGGTGCTGTTCCAGTGAGTTCTATCTTATCAGCTCATTCCACACCCTGTTGGAGTGGTCATGGGCCCCTGCTGTTGCTGGCGGTTGAACCACTTGTTAGCAGGGCAATAAGCATCCTCAGGACTCGCTCATTGGTGCTCTTGAGGGAGAAGGGCAGAGGCGGACCCCTTTCTGGCCGGGGATGGGTGTGTGAGCAAGTCCCCCAGCCTGGTCCCCCTTACCTTGTGGGCGTGGTCCAAGGCCTGCTTCCTGTAGTCCAGCTCCTCATCCAGGTAGCCCTTCTGTTTGCTGAACAGCTCCTGAAACACGGAGAAGCAGGGCTGGGCCTCGGGCATCCAGTCCTGGGATGTGATACAGGGCCACGTGGCGGGGGAGATGCCACCCACCTTCTCGCTCTCCAGATCCACCATCTTCCGCTGCAGTGCTGACTCTGTCTCTTCAATCCGCTGGAGCCACTGGGCACAAACAGAATGAGCAGGTGACAGAGTCCCCTTGGGCCACTCTTAGAGATATCTAAGCCACCCCTCCCACTGATCCATGGACACAACCTGGGAGAGGATGGAGGGAGGCCTGGTTTAGGGAAGGGAGTCAGGACTGGGCTGGCCCCAACACGGGCTCTGCACACCCAGAAGGTCTAGACCCCCTGCACACCCTATCTATTGTCCAGGAATACTGGCCCCTGGGAGAGGATGGATGTTGATCTGGGATGCAGCAGGAAGAGACACCTCTGCAGAGCCCTGCCAGGAGAGGTGGAGAAGGGTGGGCCCTTTCCTGGAACCCCTGTTTGCTAGGCACCCCCTCCCCTGCTGCTGGAGGCCTGAGGAGGGTGCTGACAGCAGCCCCAAGGTAGGTCTGGACAGAGGTGGGTCCAGGAGCAAGTGAATGGACTGGACAGGCCCAGAGAAGGGTCCTGGAGGTCCATCTCATAGACTCCACCCAGCTTCCAGTCTCTGGGAGGGGACCGAGGCAGAGCTGGCATCTGGTGTGTCTGGATGATCTACCCTCTGCAGAGGTGCATGGCAGGCACTGTGTGAGGGTTGCCTGTCTCCTGGGACACACAGAACTCAAGGGACCCCGCCACCCTGTAACCCCTTCCCAGGCAGAGGACTTTCCCTGGGCAGAAGCCCAGCCGTCCCCCAGTTTCTGCACCTTACCTTTTCGGCCAAGGTCAGGACCGTCCTGGCTTGTATGACAACCACTTGCTCCTCATTGGTCAGATTCTACATCCAAAAGCAGAACACAGGCAAGGTCAGAGGCAGCACCTTCCCGGATGGAGCTGAGTGACTGATGCACAGCGAGGCCGAGGAGATGGACACAGGGCAGCAGGGCCACAGAGAGATGCTCTCACTGAGATAGCTGCTCGGGCTGTGATACCTGTTGCCCTCGACCCTATACCCTCTGGTGCTGTTCGGTTCATCCTCTCACTGCCAGAACAAGGAAGCTCTAGGAGGATCAGCTGGGCACCCTGGCAAGCAGGAGGGCCTTGACCACATCTCCATGGTGAGGAAGGTCTAGGAGGATGAGCTAGGCACCCTGGCTAGCAGGTGGGCCTCAACCACATCTCCATGGTGAGGAAGGTCTAGGAGGATCAGCTGGGCACCCTGGCTAGCAGGTGGGCCTCAACCACATCTCCATGGTGACGAAGGTCTAGGGGGATCAGCTGGGCATCCTGGCTAGCAGGTGGGCCTTGACCACATCTCCATGGTGACGAAGGTCTAGGGGGATCAGCTGGGCACCTAGTTAGCAGGTGGGCCTTGACCACATCTCCATGGTGAGGAAGGTCTAGGAGGATCATCTGGGCATCCTGGTTAGCAGGTGGGCCTTGACCACATCTCCATGGTGAGGAAGGTCTAGGGGGATCAGCTGGGCACCCTGGCTAGCAGGTGGGCCTCAACCACATCTCCATGGTGAGGAAGGTCTAGGAGGATCAGCTGGGCACCCTGGCTAGCAGGTGGGCCTCAACCACATCTCCATGGTGAGGAAGGTCTAGGGGGATCAGCTGGGCACCTAGGTTAGCAGGTGGGCCTTGACCACATCTCCATGGTGAGGAAGGTCTAGGAAGTTCAGCTGGGCACCTAGGTTAGCAGGTGGGCCTTGACCACATCTCCATGGTGAGGAAGGTCTAGGAGGATGAGCTAGGCACCCTGGCTAGCAGGTGGGCCTTGACCACATCTCCATGGTGAGGAAGGTCTAGGGGGATCAGCTGGGCACCTAGGTTAGTGGGTGGACCTTGACCACATCTCCATAGTGAGGAAAGTCTAGAAGGTCGAGCTGGGCACCTTGGATAGTGGGTGGGCCTTTAGTACACCCTTTCTTTGTTTAAAGTCAGTGCTCTGCATATGCCCCCTCCTCTAGAGAAGATCAAATATTCATGGTTGTGAAATGCTTTCAATATTTGTTTTTTTTTCCCTGCATTTTTTATGAATGCTTAAATCCAGAGGGGACAGCTGGGTGGTCTTTCTCGGCAGGGTCAATCTTTCTTTGGGCCCCAAGGACTTTCCCCTGAGGATATGGGCACTCTCAGATCCAGCTGCCGCCTGCATCAGGGTCTGGCTGCCAGCTCCAGGGGCCACAGGAGGAAACTGTGACTCAGGATCCACAGTGAAGTCCTGAATCATAAGGAGCATGTGCAGTTCGACTGAAAAGACAGCACAGGGGCTGGGGCTGGGCCTCAGCGGTGGAGTGCTCGCCTAGCATGTGCGAGGTGCTGGGTTGGATCCTCAGCACCACATAAAAATAAATAAAAATGGAGGTATTGTGTCTAACAACAACTAAAAAATTTTTTAAATGACTGCAGAGTAAGACCTGAAGGAATGACCCCTTGGCTCATCAGAGGAACTGCCTGGATTCTCCATGGGATGTTCTGAGTGTGAAGCCTGAGCACCTGTCCTCTAGTCCCCAGTCTCCTCTGTCCCTGTGCTCTGTGAGAGTGACCTCAAGGCTGTGTGATGGCTCCAGGATAGTCATGGTAAGTGGTGAGCTTGGGTGGACAGCTGTGGACTGGAAGGAGCCCTGAAACAGAACTAGGCAGAGCTGTCACCTTGATGCTGCCAGTCCATCCTCTCTGTGGCCCAGGCGCCTTCTGGAGCCTCAGTTTCTCTAGCTGTGAATCCGAGGGTGCCCAATGTGACTCCCAAGGGCCCATGATGGGGACTGGTTCCTAGCGTGGGACCCCAGAGTGTATCACACCGCAGCCACCCTGACTCTGGGGTAGAGCTTCACCACCTGCAGCTGTGAGGGAGCCACCAGGTCTTCAGGAGGGGCAGGCACAGCCAGCTCAGCCCCCTGCTTTTCTCACTGCTCTCCAGGTGACAGGCCAGTAAGGACAGAAGGGACCCTATCCATACAAGGCCCTGAAGGGTGGGGAAATGTGTGCAGGGTGGAAGGACAGATGAAAGGGATGATGGATGGATAGATGGATGGATAGATGAACAAATGGAGGAAAGGTGGGGGACAGATAGAACATGTATTAATAATATGGAGGTATTGATATGTGAATTGATATATAGATAGATGGATAATGGGTGGAGGCTGGTAAATGGATATATGGATGAATGAATGGTGGATGGATGAATGGAGGGTGGACGAATGAATTAATGAACAGAGGGTGGATGGGTGGAGGGTGGATGGATGATGGATGGATGAATAGGTAAAGGATGGATGAATGGAGGATAGCTGGGTAGATGATGGATAAATAGATGAATGAATAGATGAATGGGGATGGTGGGTAGATAGATATAGAATGACAGATGGATGAAGATGAATAGGTGAATAGGGAATGGATGAATCATGGATGGATGGACAGAAGGAGGATAAACATATGGATAGGTGGATGGAGGATGGTGGATGGATAGATGGAGGGTAGAAGGAGAATGGATGGATAAATGGATGATGGGTGGATGAGTGATGAAGGATGAATGGATGGTGAATGAATGGAGAGTGGATGGATGATGGAGGATGTCTATATGTATGTATGTATTATGTATGTGGATGGATTCCTGGACAGACGGAGGGTAGATGGAGAGACAAAGGATGTATATATGGATGTATGTATGTGCATGGAGGATGGACCATGCAGGTTGGATGTATGATGGGTTGATGGAGGGAACAGATGGATTGATGGTGTACAGATGGAAGATGGATGAATGTATGAATGGTGGGTGTGTGGATGGATTGATGGGTGGTGGATGGTGCATGTGTGGATGGATTGATGGTGGATGTGTGGATGGATTGATGAATGGTGGATGGTGGGTGTGTGGATGGATTGATAGGTGGTGGATGGTGGATGAATGGATGGACTGATGGATAGTGGATGGTGGGTGTGTGGATGGACTGATGGATGGTGGATGGTGGATGAATGGATGGACTGATGGATAGTGGATGGTGGATGAATGGATGAGGGTGAAGTAGTGCAATTACATTACCCACTGGTAATTAATATTATTTTGAGGAGTTTGACAGAAATTGGAACTCTGCCCCAAATGAGATTTGGGGATTATCTATGGACTCTGTTTCTTCTCCCAAATCAGGGAAGTGGGAACCCACAAGAGTCTTGGCATGTCTATGAGCAACATCCCCATCCCCACTGAAAATCTGAAAGAGATTCCAGAAATGGAAAACACGTGAGTTGAAGTCCCCTTAGCTGGAGGTCTGGGCGTGCACACAGCAGAGGCCCCAGCGAGTGCGGGAAGAGTGACCAGGAGCAGATTCCTCCCAAATGCAGGGGGCCCATTCCAAGCAGGCTCTCTGTTTCAAGAAGGGCCTTTGGGCAGGGCAGTCTGTGGCAGGGCTGAATGGGGCTCACAGAGGCTGGGCGAGGTGGTGGCATGAGGAGGCATGCACAAGTCACAGAGGCTGAGCGGCATGAGGAGGCATGCACAAGTCAGGAGAGCAACATACACTTACGGCGTTATCCCCCAGGATGTCCAGCTTCTTCATCAGCTCTGCCACCAGGATGTCCTAGGAGGCAAAAGAGGGTAGGTGAGTGGCAGCTGGGTAGGCTAGCTGGTGTGGAGCGGGTGGGGCAGGGCTTTACCGTCACGCCTTCCGCCTCGCAGTACACCTGGAGAGGGCTCTTCCCATCCACAAACGGCGTGTGGTGGAAGTTGATGGCGGGCGACTTCCTCTCCCTCTCCTAAGACAGAGAGCAGAAGGTTGGGCATGGTGGCCACTTTCTCCCTGTCTCTTTCCTCCAAGGAGTCTATGCTGGGGCTCAGGGACCAGTCAAGCCCACCCAGGGAATCTAGTGTTTCTGCACACCCAGCCCCGGCAGAGGCCCGGGTGGTGGACACCTTGGTGGATGTGCCCAAAAGCCACCCTGATGTGTTTGCGGACTCCAGATAGGTGGGTGAAACACTGGTTCCATCAAGCTCCTGGCCATGTGGCCCTGGTAAGGTCCACCCCAGAGCCACTTGCTCACCCATTGGTGAACCCAGGGGGCTGTCGGGAGGCTCAGGGAGAGGCTGCAGGTGAACAGTCACCACCACGCCCAATAGAGTGAGCCCTGGAGAACATGGGCTCGTGGTGCTGCCCCTTCACAGGCTGGACCACAGGCAGGAGGCCACAGGGATGAGCATCCACGTGGAGTGGCCACACAGCCCTCCTGCCTCCAGTGAGGGGAGGGGAGGACTCTGAGCGGGGGATTCACCTGGTCTCTGGGTAGGGTACTGCCCACTAGAGAGAGAGCCTGCTTGGACCACTTCCAGGTGGGCCACAGTGCCCAGCCCCCTGGCAGTGCAAGGTGAGCATGTGACATGGCCGCCATGCCCATCCTGCCCTTCCCCATGGATCCTGGCTCCTCTTCCCTCTGCAGGGCATTGGAGCACATGGGGATGGCAGAATGCAGGAAAGTGCCTGGTCCCTGAGGGGCATCCTCTGCCTCCACTCACAGGCTTCTTTGAGCAAGAGGTAAATAAACGTCTGCTGGGCCAACGGCTGGGGACTGGGCATTGTCCCTACTTCTAGTCACCCCTGCAGCAGCCTTGGCCACAGTGATGAGTGTGGGGCCCCAGGTCTGGCGCAGTCGCTGTCCTCAGGTTTGCTCTGCTCGGTCCCCTCCTGGCGCTGACCTCAGCACTCACACCCAGGATATTGTCACTATCTTGCTGGTGGCATGTGGCCCAGATGGGCCGTTTACTGCCACCTGCCCCTGCCTCTCCACCCTGACCTTGGGGTTCCTGTTCGGAGGCCCAGGACAGGAGCCTGCCTGGAGCCCTGCGGCCCCGCGGCGCCAGCCGGCGGCCCACCTCGAGCTCCAGGATCCGGAACTCCAGCAGCTCGTTCTGGTCCTTGGCGTCCTGGACCTCGTGCTTCAGCCGGGCTTCCTCGGTCTCCATCTGTTTTATCTGAAAAACCGAAGAGGCGCCAGGTGAGAAGGGTCCAGTCTCTCCCACTGGAGGGCCAAGAGGTCAGCTGCCCGGCTTTCTGGATGCTGCCGGCTGTGATACAGAAGGCAGAGGCGCCGGGGGCATGGCAGGCCTCTGGTCTGCGCACACCGGGAGCAGGCATGTGGCAAGGCAGAAGCCAAGGCTGAGCCTGGCTGTGTGCCCCTCTTCTGGCCCATTTTAATCATTTTAATGAAGCCCGAGTCCAGGTGGGGGAGGGATAACGGTGTTCTTAGAGCCAACATCATCATCCAGGGGCCAAGAGCGCCCGCCCTGGGGCCACTCCAGGGGCCACCCTGGTGAAGCTGGAGGCACCAGCCCTGGCCTGGCTGTGGGCTCTCAAAGGGGCTGCTTCCGAGGACTGTGCAGGCTTCACCACAGCGCTGTGGGGAGCAGAGCTGCCGGCCCCCTGAAGCTTCCCGCTGGGGTGGCGTATGGCTCCCAGGGGCAGCCTTCACACAGCCTCTGGCCACCCCCATCTGCAACCCGTCAGGGAAGCAGGATGCCACCTCAGGCTCCACCAGGCCAGGAGAACAGGCCACGCTCCTCCACCCAGGGGGCAAGGCTCAACGGGGCCCCAGGCTCCCATGGCTCCCAAAGGATGCCCTTCCAGGGACCTCCACGGGCAGCTCGGGGGTAGGGGTGGCAGGGAGGCGAGGGAGCGCTCTCGCACACCACCACTCCCACACACGCGCACCAGGGTGTCCTGCATGTCCTGGGGCCACGCGTACCTTCTCTACAAGCTCTTGATTTCTCCGATACAGCGCTTGCTTCTCTTCAATCCATTTCATGTCCTTGAGAAGGAACGGAAAGGAAGACATGTGAACACTTCAGGAGGACACTGAAAAGCCACATTCCAGTCCCAATGGCAGGACAAGAATGTGACCCCAGATGACAGTGTACTACACTCAGGGAATGGAAACCTGCGGCCCTAGACAGAGGCAGCTCCGCCTCAGGAGGGTCTGGAAGGCACCGCATGCCACCACATAAGCAGCACCCCAGGCCCGGGGCCCCAGTCCAGGCACCCAGAGGCACACTGTGCAACACAGGGTCAGTGAGGGCTGGACTAGACAGGAGAGGCGGGGTCTCAGGCCGGCAGGAGAACAGTCCGCTCAGGGAGGAGTGTGTCCCCTCACACCAGGGACACCTGGGCAGATGGCAGCCTTTGCAGTCTGTCAAAGGAAATGCATGGGTGCTTCCTGGCCCTGCTGTGAGAAAATCCAGTGTACCCAGCACACCCTCCCCACTGGGCGCCCTCACGTCTGCCCCCACCAGCAGCACATCTAAGTTTAAGGTGACATGTCGGGAGGAGCGCAGGCTGCGCAGTCACTGGCTCCCCTGGGGTTCTGAGCACCACCTGGGGAGGTGTGGTCACGCCTGGAGACCTTGTGTGCAGAGCAGGGGGGGCACCATCCTAGCTCCCAGCCCTCCTGGCCACGCCCTCGGCATGACATGGAGCCTTAGAAATGTGCCCCATGGTGTCTGCACCAGGGCCACCCTTTGGTCTGCAAGGGATGCACATGGGCAATTTGAGTGCCCTGGCCACAGGCCTGTGTGTGGTGGCCTGGGGTGGGTGGCGGTCAGTCCGTGGGTGGCAAACAGAGGCACATGCTGCAGTGCTGGACTCCCGGACACTGGCTGCATGGCCCTTGCTCATGTGGTCCCCTGGTATGTCCAGCTACAGTCAGTGTGTCAGGGACCAAGGACCTTGTGGGCCTCTCCGGGCAGGTGGCGGGAGCAGGAAAGCAATCCCAGCTCAGAGTGCTCCTGCAGGCCCCTCCTCTGGGAGTCCCCAGCAAGGGCAGAGACGGCCAGCCAGGAGCACGTGGGGGCTCACCTGGCCCTGCTCGGCCAGCGCCTTCTCCAAGTCCTCCACCCGGGCCTGCGCTCGCTGCATGTCTGCTTGGAGCTGCTCACGGGTCTGTAGAACGGGAGGAAAGACACATCAGACTTTCTCTAGCGGCCAGGACAGGCGAACGGCTCGCGGGATGCAGGTCAGAGGACTCTGCCTCAGGAGAGGTACCCGAGTGTGGCTGCCCCTCTTTCGGGGCGGTCTCCAAGAAAGGAGGGGCTGTGCGGCCACGCGAGGCGCATACTGTTCCGTGACTGACTGGGAGCACGTGAGGCAAGGCCCTCGCTCCCCGGGCAGCATGGCCCAGACTGTCGAGGCTGGCTGCTGGCCAGGGTTTCAGCCTCCCCTGGGGGCACACAGCACACTAGGAGACTTCTGAGCGGATCTGCTACCGCCCCCCACAACGCTGCTACTCCCCCCATGGGGCCTCTGCTGGCCCCTGGGTTCGCTGTCCCTCCTGCCCCTTCCTCACTCTACTGTCCCAGAACTGTCCTTTGATTTGTAGGTCAGTTTCCTGGTGCGTGAAATTCCTCCCAAGTGCCAACCAGGTTGCAGCCAGATTTAAACGGCTCTCCCTTGGTTTACTTGGGTCTCTCATGGTCCAAACCATGGTCATTTTTCCCCAGAGCCTGCCATGCTCTCTCTTTGGTGCAGCTTCTGGGGAAATTGATGTGTCTGGGGCAGCCAGGCAGAGGGGCGGAGACCTACCACCCTGTGAGGCCCGTAGTGCGTTCCACAAGCTCTGTCCCCAGCCTTAGGACAATTCAGACAGAGACATTTCCCTTTCTCCAAGGATCATGCAAAAAAATAAATCCAAAAAGTGCAAGAAGGAATCTTCAATGTCCCCCTTTATGTGATAAATGGCCTGTCCACCTCATTTCTGCTTCTCAAAGCAGAGGCGGGGAATTCCGACAGTCAGTGGACTCCCTTCCTGATCCTCCCCAGGCAGCCTGGTGCCAGTGCTGTCCCTGGAGACCAGCAGAGGACGCCCACCAGCCCCTTCCAGTCTTTCTGGATGCCACTGACCCACCAGTATGCCCAGGCAAGGTGGACAGGAGGGGCCCTGCTGCTCGGCAGGTTTGCCTGGCCAAGCACAGGGCAAAGGAAGGCCGGTGTTTGAGCTCAAGGCTTGTTGGATGAATATAGTCTTGGCAAACTTAAGGAAAACTGAGTCCAAATGCTGCCCATTCACCCCTGAGCCTCCCAGCTATGGGAGCTCCCCAAGGGCATCAGACAGGTTTGGGTGAAGGGGACCTCATCTCAGGAGCTGCAGGCCCCTGTGCGCTGGATGCCGTCCCTGGCAGGGCAAGAAAAGCCCACACCTGTGCTGGCTCTACCCGGCCAGTCTGCCCCCACCCAGATGACCCAGCCACTGGCTCCACAAACACTGGTTTCTAGTGGCCTCACTAGTGGGCATCACCCGGGACCCAAAGCAACTGTGGGCAAGAAGGGGCTTGGCCCCAAAGTCTGGGCAGGCAAAGGGCCCCTGCCAAGGCCTCAGGGGAAAGTGGGAGGAGCCATGTGGAGCCCAGCCATGGAGTAGAAGTCATTTAGACCTTAACTTCTCGCTCTGCGTCCAGTGTCCCTCCGACCTGCTCCTGCAGCAAGGCGTATGCTCGCTGCAGCGCCTGGTACTCCATGGTCAGCTGCCGGAACCTCAGCTCCGTCTCCTCCTTGGCCAGGCCCTGGAGAGGAGCAAGGGCACCACAAACCCCCAGAGACACAGCATTAGCCCCAGCCCCCAGCACCACCCCAGCCAGGCACCTGCTCCTCCAGTGGGGAAGAAGGGAGGGGTCTCCAGCAGCACAGGGAGGGCCGGCTCTGGGGACCTAGACCTGTTTGGAGGAAGGTTTTCCTGGGAGGTGACTCCCATGTCTGGGTAGACAGCGGGGCTGGCAGGGCTGAGCCAGGTGAGCCTCAGGGGTTGTCCAGGGGCTCTGCCTGGTCTCCTACTTGCCAGCCCGTCTGACTGACCCAGCAGACCCTCCATTATTGACCAGGACTGCACATGGCCCTGCTCTGCAGACATGTGTCCTGGGAACTGTGCTGTGCTCTGTGAGAGGGCCCCAGGGCCCCAGGTCACATGTCCCTCTCAGGCTGCCCACCCCAGGTCTGCCACCCCAGGTCAGCCCACTCTGACCTGCCTGTCACCCAGGCTTACTCCTGCCATCACCTCCCAGGATGTGTCCTAGCTGAGTGATACCCGCTGCCCCACAAAGAAGGCAGGAGTGGGTCCTCCCTCCTTCCCTCCCTCCTTCCTCCCTTCCTTCTCTCCTTCCTTCCTTCTTGTCTGTCTGTCTGTCTGTCTGTCTCTCTCTCTCTCTCCTTTACATCAGATGTTTCTGCTGTAGCCTTGAAGGAGTCCCAGTGGACCCTAAGGTTTGCAGCGTGGGCCATGTCCAGGAGTGACCAAGCCCAGAAACCCTGCCCCAGCCCCAGCCCCACTGCCCCAGGCTTTCCAGAAGTGGTCTGCTATGACAACTGGTTTTCTGAGCCGGCTCATGGCCTTTGGTTCATCCTCCAGGATCTTCCAGGGAAGGCTCCCCTGGCCTTTACCAGGTCCACTACCTGCTCTCCATAGCTACAGGGGCTGGGCCAGTTGGACAAACACTAGCTTATGCCCTGGGACTGAGCTGGCTGCTGGACTTCAGGGTAGCCACCATTCTGCAGGCCAGGCTGTTAGGAGCACCAGGAAGAAAGCTCTTCACAGTGTCTCTAAGGGCCTGGGTCCTGGCACAGGGTGACCTCCCTGCTCGCTGGTGCAGCTCCTCCTGGGAGGCCCTCTTTGGGAGGAGCTCAAGGTCAAGGATGTGAGGAAGTGTGACTGGGCATCAGTGACAGCAGGGAGTGACCCTCAGCAACCATGTAGCCAAACCAAGTTCAGGGTTTCTCACTGCACAAAAGCAGGGGCTGCCAGGGCTGGACCAGGAGGCCTATCCAGAGAGCGGGCCTGGCCCCGGGTCCCAGCCCGTCGCCAGCCTCAGGCCCAGGCTGCCCAGGAGCCGCTGTGGGAGACTCACGGTACCTCCTCTAGGTCGTCGTCAGGAGTGCACGGGGTCTGGTCTGTCCTGTCAGTTTGATAAGAGATGGAAGAGCCGTCGGACTCCAGGGACGCTTCTTCATCGTATCCAAAGAAGGTCTCCACAACAACCGGCTTCTGGCCAAAAGGCAAGGTGTTGGCGCAGCCCCAGGCCAGTGCTCGGCCAGCAGCCCCAGGCCCCTCCCGCCCTCTGTTGCCTGTGGTGCACCCCCACAGCCCCATCTGCAGTGCTCTCCCACATCCATCCAAGGCCGCCCTGGAGGGGCCCACTGGGCTGTCCTACTTCCGGCCAGAGTGCGCCATCTTGGTGCACCCAGAATGTACTGGCAGAGGGTGGAATGTAGATGTCCAGGAGTCTGACAGATGAGCCACTCCTGGACTTGGCCTCTGAACTTGACCCCTGCCAGTAGCAAGCACGTGCCCTGACGTGCGGTGCCCTTTCCAGTCCGTGACAGAGGGTGTGAACAAGGGCCGGTCCTCCACCAGCTAGGTTGAGAAGCCCTGCCTTCAGGGACCCCCAACTTCCCCTCCTTCTGGACTTCCGAAACCCTGGCTTTAGACACTACGGACTCCAGAAGCCACCTCCTCTCACCTGCACACAGGGACCCGGCCTTCCTTGTCTGTCCTTGTCAATGTAATGGCCGTGGTGGCCACCAGGTCTCTGATGAGTCCACTGCCAGACCTTCCAGGAAAGTCCCTCCCTGGGCTCCAGGACCATCAGCTGCCCCAAGGACCATGGTGGCTGTTCCCTCCCAGACACCTGCATTCTCTGGCTCCAGCTGAGCAGGCTGTGCTAGTTCCTCTCCCTTGACCAGCCGCCTCTCCAGCTGAGCCACCAACTGTCACTTGTGGCTGGGCCCTGGCCTCTCTGGAAAAGGACTTCCCTGTACCCCAGTCTTTCCCAGATCCTCCACTGAAATTCCCACAAGTGGGCAAACTTGACGAGCACAAACCTGAGGTCCTTGCTTTATTTCCAGCCCTGGGTCACCAGTGGTCCTCTGGATGTCTGTCCCCTGACACTCCACCTCAATCCTCCTTGGTCCAGGCAGCCTCCGGACCCCCCTCCTGCTAACCCACCCCGCCCCTGCCACAGGAACATCCTGCTGTTCCAGCTCAATCCTGCTCGGTGACTACCACAAGCTGGAGTCCTCGCGCTTCACTTAGGTCCCCTGTCATCCAAGCCCCTCCTGCCGACTTCCTGGTTTCCCTCCTCCCTCTCACAGAGGCACCAAGACAGCAGGGGCAGCAGGTGGGGCCTCTGGACAATCCCTGAGCATCCTGCAGTGATCCAGGAGAGAGGCCAGCAGCCTCCTCCCTCCCTGGGCCTTTCCAAGGCCAGATGAGCCAGGGCTGTGGCGGGGAACACTGAAGTGGCCAGGGAGGGGCCGCGGAGTGTTTATAAACAACCCAGCTGCAGCTCAGAGAAAGCTGAAGACAGGTCCTCTGGGAATTTCTCCAAAAGCTCAATAAAAGATCACCAGCCTATCGAGAAGGGTCACACTCCAGAAAGTTCTCCCAGGGCTTTGAACTTCCTAGGGCTGCAGGGCTGGGGGGCTTGTGTGCAGCTGTGGGCACAGCCTACGCAGCCTGCATAAGCTGCCAGGGGACACTTAATGCTGGGGCAGGCCCAGGAGGGGTGCATGGCCCAGTGAGGATGGGGGCAGCAGGCGGGCTGTCCTTGGAGCTGTGTGCCCCATGCCAACATGGATTCGGTCTCCTGTTCCAGGCAGTGAAGACACTGGGGTGGGGGGCTGAGCCGTTGAGCTGAGCCTGTGCACAGACCAGGCACGTGCTGACCTGTGAACTGCCAAATTACAGCTTCTGGACCAGATTCACCAGCCTCTGCCAAGCTATGAAACCAGCCATGTCCTGAGCCGCCCAGAGCCTGGCCAGTCTTACAACTGTCTGCACCATCAGAACGCCAACCACAGTGGTGTGGTCACAACCCCTGGCAGCTGGGACATAGGGACAGCCACCCTTGCAAACTTCCATCCTTAATCCCGGCATCCCAGGAGTGCAGCCCCGGCCCCCACGCGCACAGGAGTCTCAGTTCTGGGCCAGGCTCTCAGGCCACAAGCAGAGGATCTACTTTGAATCCTATTTGGTCATTTCTGATTGACAATTTTGAGAAGAAATAAAAGTGTTTTCTTTTCCTTTGTAAAGGAAGGGACTCTCTCCCAAGAGCTTTCAGCACAAGCACGCACGCACGCACGCAGCACGCACACACACACGCACGCACATATGCTGCCTTCTTTACCTTGGGGAGTTTTGCCATTTTCTTTCTCTGCTTCCGAAACCTTAAAAGCTTATCGCGCTCCTGCAAAAACCAGTTGGAGAGGTTTTTAGGTAGGTGCCAGCTCCACCAGCTTCTTGAAGTGCCACATCATCATCGTGACGTGGTCTCAACGTGGTAACTGTTCCTGGGACATAAACACAAGGTATCTGCGCAGGAGCCTGGGGCCCTTTCTCCACCAGCCTGAGATGAGTGAGTCCCCACTTAGGTGAGCTCTGCACTCAGGAGCCACCAGGCCCCTCAGTTGCATTGTAGGGACCGTGTGGGGGAGGGGAAGAAGGAGCTCTGCAGGACGCCCCCAGCGAGGCTGTGAGCAGCTTCAGCCTTGGTACTTACCAGCACACTCTTCACGTAGCCAGCAGTCTCGAGGGTCTAGGAAGGAAAATGGCAGGTTTGGAACTGAAGGTGCCGACTTGCTCCTACAGAGCCCAGAGGAGGCCCCAGGAGCCCCCGAACTCTGCTGTAACCTGGCTGCGGAATTCATGCCTCAGAGTCCTCAGGGTCCGGAACCCTTGCCTGAGAGGAAGGTTCTGCCCCAATTGTCCTCCCTCCTTTCCAAAGCTGGTCCCAGAGGCTCCCTGAGCCTCGGCATCCCCAGGAGCCTCTGTTCAAGGTGGCTGAGCCTTTCACTCCCTGGCAGCTGGACAAAGCCCTCTGGAAGTTGCGGTGATGTACATTTATTTGTGACTTATCAAGATTTCAACCTTTTCCTATCCCCCCATAAATTATGATTGTCATTCACACTGATGAGCATTTGTCATTGAATGAGAAAAGGACTCAGACCTCAGGCAGGGTCAGGGAAGACTGTCTTGGGGAGACCACACCCCACAGCCCATGGGGGCAGAGGATCTTCTTATCTCAGGGACTTTGGAGATGGCCTTAGGCGTTGCGTAGGACAGGCCAGTGACCGAGAGGCACAGCTGTCCTGCTGCTTGCTGACCAAGGCAGCTCGCTGGGAATGCTCTAGCATGGAGTCTACCAGAGCCCACAAGAGGCAGAGCCGCCCCCAACCAGAGTAAGTGGGCGGCTTCCTGCAGCACTGTTTGCAGACCTCTGCTGGGGTGAGGGGCGCCCAGGAGAGAGCAGGGGAGGGGCTGCATGGTGGTCCCTAAAAGACGCGTCCACAGTTCCATCCTCACAAACGGCATGGGAACTGATCTGAAAATAGCGTCTCGGGTGTGACTGAGTTAAAGACGCGGAGATGATCGCAGTGGCTGTAAGAGGAGAGGAGAATATTCAAACAAGACAAGGGGCCACAGGAAGAATCAGGCAGAGGCTGGAGTGAGGTGGCCACAAGCCAAGGGAGGCTGGGACCCTGGAGGCAGCCAAAGGAAGAGAGCAGACCCTTCCCAGGCCCTGGAGGGAGCCCAGCCCTGCCCACACCTCGACTGAGGCCGGTGGCCTCCCTCGGGAACCGTGAGAGGGAGTTGTGTGGTCTTGAGCCACAGGGCTATGGAGGCTTGTTAGTGACAGAGGCAGTGCTGCCGGCCTGGAACCCTGAGCTCCGGGGGGTGAGGAGGGTGAGGAGCCCCAGGCACCGAGACCTACCTAGGGAGGGTCACCAGGACCAGTGACTATGTGGGGGATCCAGCCCGAGGTGGCCCATGGCTCCTGCCTCTGGCCTCCCCCGACTGCCCCAGGGGCAGGGTGGGCAGCATGTGGTCACCTTGGAGAGTTCGTCAATGAGGTTCTGCTGCTCCACAACCTGAAGCTTCAGGAAGTCGACCTCCGTCTCACCCTGACTCTGATCAAGGTCGTTTAGGGAGCTGGGTCTCCGGATGATCCCGGCTCTCTGCCTCTGCAACACCAAGCAGGCCACGTCACATGTGCTGGGCCCACCTCCCGAGCAGATCCCAGCCTGGCTCAGTGCTGGGGGGCCTCCCCTACCCAGGCTCACTGCTCTGTGCCAGGCCTGCCCCCCCTGGAACCCCAGGTCCTCTTGCTACCTATGCCCAGGATTTACAGAGTCAGAGCTTGCTTACTAAGCCCCTGGGGTCAGCATGTACAAACAGGGCCAAGAGGTGGGGGGGCATGTGATGGCCTGGTGGCCTCCCGTGACCACGCCCCTCCCTCCCGTGGCTGGTCCTCACCTGAGGCCTCTCTCCCGGGGGTGGGCTCACTGGGGATCTGACCCAGGAATGCACATGGGGCTGCCCTGAGCAGCAGGCTCGAGAGCCCGGCCTGCTCCACTGCCTCCTTAGGCCACGGAGCAGAGTGGAGCGTTGCCAGCAGCTGGCACAGCTGCCCCTGCTGACCTAGCGGGCCTTACCATCTCTATGTTCTCCTGGGTGACGAATTTCAGCTTGCTTTCTATTCTCCGTAAAGTGTGAGACAAGTCCTCATTTTTCCGAGTAAGGCGTTTGTTTTTATCCAACAATGGCTTGTACTGACTCTCTGCTTCCCTTAAACGCTTTAACTGCAAGAGAAGTTAATTATGTGATGTTTTACGTAACTGATGACAGGACTCCACATAGCCAGCAAGAGGTCCAGGTCGAATCCATGACATGATGCAGCCCACCACGGTCATCCCTCTGTGTCCAGGGGGAATGGATCCAGGACACATGGAAAACCCCAATCCATAGGTGCCCAAGTCCCTGGTAGAAAGCAGCGGGGTCTGCAGATACCCTAGGCACCTCCTGCTGCCTACGCCACATCATGTCTGGTTGTTGATGGTACCCAATGCAGAGCAGATGCTGTGAAAGTAGTTGTCATGTGGTCCTGTCCCGGGGACAGTGGTGAGGAGGAAGGCCTGCACCTGTCCAGTACAGAGCTGACTTTTAAAAACCCTCAGTCTGCAGGTGGATGGTACCTGTGGATGCAGAGCCTGTAAGCCCAGAGCCAACTTTGCAAGCCAACTGTGCTTGCAAAGAGGAAAGTTCCCGGCCCTAGGGGGAGTCCCTACCTGGCAGCTGCCCTCCATCCACCCAGCGCCCAGGAGAGCTGAGCCATCCATTCTGCAGACAGGAATAAGGTTGAAGGCCAGCAGTCTGGGCCAAGGCTCTGCTTGCCCATCAGAAATGTGGTCACCGCCTGCCCCCGAGCATCCACACAGCTCACACACCCTCTGAGCTGAGGGTACTGGAACCCTCAGTGGCTCTGGAGATTAATGGTGAGGGCGACAGCTAAGACAGTGTCCTCTCCCACCCAGATCATGTGCAGAGTTCAGGGTACTTCTGCCCCAGGACACAGAGTAGGGTTGGCCAACCAGCATGCGGGAGCCAAAGGTGGACAGGCCAAGGGGCCCAGCGGCAAGGCCAGCTGTCACCACTTGCCCTTTCCACAGGGACTGTGGAAGTGGACCCCGCCTCTCCCCATGCAGCCATAGTCCCACAAGGTCCAGAACCGTCCCTGTCGGGCACACACCAGCTCGTTCCTCTCCTCCGACAGCAGGGCGTTGCGATCCTCCAGCTTACGGATGATGGCGCTTAACTCTGCGATTTTGAGCTGAAAGCGCCGGGCATCCTTTTCATCCAACTGCTGTTCCTAAAACAAAGATCAACTGCAAACAACTGTTCCCTGCTCACAGAACCTCGCGAATCGCAGCACCCTGGATGCCTCGGCCGCCTGCTCTTCCACACAGCGGCTGGCGGGTAGGTATAGCCCAAACTCTGCAAACTGCATGAGGGGACAGACGGAAGCGGGAATGTCTGGGGGTGTGCAAAAGTGGAGGGCGAGGGTGGGGACACACGTGGGGACACATGGGCGGGGACACACTGGTGGGGACACACGGGCAAGACTAGCTGCATGCTCTCCTCCGGCCACTGCCTGCTGCACCTTCAGAAGGGGTCTGCCCTGCCTGCCAGGTGGACAGCACGTTCTCGGGGTGAGCAGAGGAAAAGACACCTGCTGCAGACTTGGAAAAGTCGCTTTCCCAGGAAGTGTGCTCCCTCAGGTTGAGTCTCTAGAAGGCCACTTTCAAAACCACTGGAACTTCATTAAAAAGACAGTGAAAACCTTTGCCTGAAGTTCTGGGCTCTCTGGAGCAGGAAGGGCTGGCTCTGATCAGTTAGACTGCGCTGCCCCCACGATGCTAGTCTCTAGTCTTGCAATGTCACTGTCCCAGGGCTGGCCCAACTTTAACAGTTTTGTCCTTGAATCAAACAAAAGTATGTCCAGGGAGATACTGGACATGGTTTGAGTTCCTCAGTCAATGGGTGCAGGAGAGGCTAGGGACCAAAGGCCCAGAGGGGCCATGTGGAGGGTCCGTGGCATTAGATCCCCAGGATGTTGCAGGCCACTGCGGAGGGATCTGAATGAGGTGTGGCAATGAGAAGATGGGTGGCTTGCAGTCTGGGCATCTGCAGGTGGACCCATGCAGGTGGGCATTAGCAGCCCGAGGAGGAGCAGAAAATGTCATGGTCACATGAAAAGCATGTGGGAGGATGGCTGGTGATGAGCGCAAGGTCAGCCACAGGAGGGCCCAGCCAGGGACTTGGCGGTCAGCAGCCAGAAGCCAGAGCAGCACCTGCTCAGAGCACCGCCTCTCCCACCAGCCAGGGCAGGACCAGCGCCAGCAAAGCTGGTACTTTGGGATCCTTGGGGACCGGGGCCCAGGAGGGGACAAGCCAGTGCACCTGCAGTGTTGGGGAGGAAGGAAGAGGACAAACTGCCCGTCCTCCTGGCCAGAGCTGGACGAGCTGAGGGCCCCAGGGGCAGGAGAATCTGGCTGGACTGGGCTCCGGACGCCCCAGGGAGCTCTGCAGGGCCGTGTGTCTGTACTCGGATCGGGCCAGGGCGAGGCCCGGGGGTGCTTACAGGGCTTCCCGAGTGGTCTGAGGCGTCTCCTGCACCGCTTGCATGAGGAAGTTCCCGTCTGGGGCTGCCCGGGTGCCGCTCGGCCTCTTTGGCCTGGGCAAGCTGCTCATCTAGAGCCTCTTTCTGCAGCTGCAGCCTCTGGGCTTGCCCGGCTTGGACCCCTAACTCTCTCTCCAGCACGAAGACTGCTCTGTCTTTAAATTTCATCTCCTCCATCTACAAGGAGAACAGAACACAATCACACACGCAGACAGGGTGCAGATCTACAGTTACCATAGAAACAGGCAGGTTGGCATCAGCAGGGGCCCCACAGTGGCAGCCCTGCCAGTGTCTCAAGCTCAGACAGACCATCCTGGACGAGAGCCGGTGCCTACTCCCCAGGCTGCTGCACACAGCCCTTCCAGGGCCTCCTGGGGTCAGCTGGCTGGCCCCAAGCTGCTCTGGCCCCTGTGCCCCCTGTGCCAGGCCAGGGTCACCCAGCAAGACTCCAGTCCCCTGCTGTCCTATGTGTCCACAGGGATGGGCCTACCTGGCAGGTTAGTGGAGCCACCTCCTGCCCCTGCCTCCCTCTGTGCTTTGAGCGGAGCAGGGTTATGTCCGACTCACACACACCTGCCAGTAGGAGGGTACTATGGGAGAGGGTGTTTGGAAAGACCCTGACTCAAAACAAAACACAAAACGGGCTGGGGATGTAGCTCAGTGGTTAAGCGCCCCTGCGATAAGACCCTGGTACAAATAGGAAAAGGGCAGGGAGAGGGTGGCCATGTAGGTAGGTAGGAGCCCTGGCCTGAGAGTTCTCAGGGCAGCCTGCCACCCTGGACTCGCTCACCATCCCAGAGAGGCCACAAGCTAGGGAGGGCTGGGTGGTGTGTGGGAGGCACTGCGGCCATCCCTGTTCCGTCCTGGATCTCTGTGCTCCGTGCGGGAGCGACGTGGCGTGCTCACAGCTGTTTGTTTCCTATGAATCCTACTGAAGGCTGAGGCTGGGGGTGGGCGGCATCTGGACAGGCAGGCTCCAGGAGGTCTGACCCGCTCAGGTCCCATCTGCTGGGAGGGTCCGAAGCCCTCCCTACATTCCCCAAGGAGCAGCATTCTTTGAGCCCACCCTACAAATAGCAGCAAGAACCCCCTTGGACATGGCCACCAGCTGACCCTGAGGCCTTCACCTGAGCTGCCCCAGGAACATGCTGGGTCCAGGTGGAAGGTGGGACCCAATGTAGATGGCACTGGACTTATAAGATGATGTCTTGGGTTTAAAACATTATTTTCAAATGACTGAGCAGAGCCGGGCATCTGGCTGGGTCAGCCACCTGCTGAAGTCTGCGTAGAAACAGAAGAGGCATCTCATCGGCCCAGATCACAAATTCACACAAGCCAGGAGCAGAACAGAGGAAAAGAGGCCTTAACGGCCAGATTCCCATTTCCTGGAGCATGTGGCGGTGCAGGAGGAGGAAGCTCAGTAATCAGGGAGACAAAGAGGCCGGGGACAGGAAAATCTTATTAACGAGCGGCTGTGCCTGTGGCCTGGCACCCACACGCCAGCGTTTACAGAAGCAGGAGAGGGAGTGTCTCTGCAGCCTCCTGGCCTGAGGGGCAAGGTGGGCAAAGGGCAGACCTGTCTGCCAGCTCACCAGGCCGCAGGGTAGGCGACTGCCCGTGGGACGCGCTAAGCTGCCCCATCAAGGAATGTGGGACAGCACTGTCTCACAGGCACACGATGCTTACCAGGGGGTACCAGAGGGGTCTCCCAAAGCTGCAGGTCTCGAGCCAAGCTTGCTCAGCCCTGAACATGCGTATCTACGTCTTCTGCTCCAGTGAGGTCTGCTTCTGCGGGGGGCCTGGCCCAGCCTAATTAAGATGCTCCGTGGAACTGGTGGCTCCCCTCACTCACAGAGGGCTTCTTCCAGCCCAGCGACATGTTCAAACACGGGCACCACACCCACCCCCAGCCCCGGGAGCTGCAGCAGACAGCATAGGACCTGGGGCCTGCTGCCCACATGCAGACCCACACTGCACGCGTGGTTGTCTTCCTGCAAGGAGGTGGCCCGTGTCCGTCATGCAGGCTGAGGCTCTGACATGCTGTCTCTGATGTGCTGAGCTGCAGCTGCCCCTTCCCTCCTGCAGGCTGTGGAGACCAGAAGGCAGTGCCCAGACCCTACCCCACCCACACCCATGCAAAGAGCCCCCACCAAGCCAGGACTGAGGGCTCCCCAGACCTCCAAACTGAAAATGGGGAGTTCTGGTAACAGATGAGTTGGTCCCCCACCACACAGTCTTGTCCAGATGCTACAGAAGTTCTGAATCACCCAGTGTCCTCTCCTGCCCCTGTCCCATCTGTCTCCTCACCTCTACCAGAGTTGGTCATAAACAAGATCAGATCTCCTGGTTCCCAGGAGAGAAACGCCTCCCAGGATAAGAAAACAGTCCAGATTCTTACTGAGTCTGTTGACTGCCCTCTGAGTCACCTCTGCCAACCCAGCACCCCACACTGTCCCTCCCTCCCAGGTGCAGTGGGCATCTGGAAACCAGCAGAGGTTCCTTGTGATGGCAGGTCCCCAGGGAAGGGGTGTGCATAAGGGTCTGAGTGGGGAGGATGGTCCTCGCCCAGGAGAGAAAGGGCCCTCTTCACCTAACCCACCCTCCTCACCTAACCCACCCTCCCCTTCAAGCTCAGAGCACAGTGCTTCTTAGAAGGTGGCCCTGGGGAGCTCAGCATCAGAGCCTCCTGGGCCCTGTGGACAGCGGATCACTGGCCATCACCCTGGGCCCCTGTGGACAGCGGATCCCTGGACACCCACCAAGTATAGAACTAGAGCCCGTAGCTGGAGTGGGGGGAAGGTAGCCCTTCCTGAGCTCGCTTGCCAATGGTGAGGCCCCTGACACGAGGCAGCCGTGCCCTGCAGTGCTGAGCCCCCTGAACACGTGTGCCCTCAGTGACCAATGAGTACTTGCCTGTCCAGACACATCACCAACCCAGCTGGGGCTCTCCCCTCCTGGGCTGACTGCACTGACCGTACTTCAGTGCCAAACCAGGCACCTGCCTGACCCACCAGTGGAGCCTGTCTGACCCCACACCAAGTGTCCTTAGCAAAGGGTAGGAGTCTGGTCCCCAAAAGCCTCCTGGCCTAGGCAGTAGGCCCTCACCTATAACAGTGGTGGCTCACCCCACCTTCTTCTTCAGAGGATCTGCATCTTGGGGGACCTTCCTGCCTACAAACTCTCCACAGGTAACCTGAACACATATGTGTCTTGTGCTTTAGAGAAGGTTGTCGCTCACCAGTGGGTGTGTTGGAGAAGAGGAAGAACCTAGTGTGCTTTCCATGTGGGGCTCATTTTCCCAGAGAAAGGGTACTGGAAGGGCCTAATGAGAAGAACAGAGCCGGAAGGAGGCTCGTCACCCTGGACGTCAGGGCTGAGATTAGGAGGGGACCTGGGAAAAAATACACCCAGATGAGACAGAGAATCTGGTACTATCCAAGGTTTGGCCCAGAAAGCACAGGCGCAGAGGGGTTGGCTGGACAGTCCCAGGCGAAGACTAAATAAACAGGTGCTTCTGCCTCTTGCACTCCCAGAGTGGGTTGAGAGTTGGTATAACGAGAATATGGCTCCAGCCTGAGGTGATGAGCCCATGTCCCCAATGTCCCAGAGATGCACCAAGATCTGTTCCATGTCTGAGAATTAATTCCCAGGAATTTTTGTTATAAAGAGAATGCCAAAGTCCCCCACAACCTGGGGTAATCTGCCAACCTGTTGAGAATAGTGGCTCCCAAACCTGGTCTCCCACTAGAACCATCCAGGAAGCTTTCAAAAAAATATTGATGGTCAGAAAATTCTGGTTTCAGACATGATGGAGTCGTTGGCAACAGACCCACCTGATGCAATGAGCAACTCTAGGAGTTAACGAAATCAACCAGACAGGGCAGGTGCCAGAGCCAGGGGGCAGGTGAGGAGAGCCCTCCCTGATTCCCCAGAGGCATTCTCTCTGCGTCTCTCCTGGGAAACAGAGCCAAGCAGAAAAGAGAAGCTTCTTGGGACAGGAAACCCAGATCAGCTGCTGGGACCCAGATCATCAGGTACTGGGGACAAGGAGGTGGCAGGAAAGTAGCTCCAACAGCTGAGTAGACTCCCTCGGACCCATGGCCAACTCTAAGCTTGCACGTGTAAGGCAAGACCCCTGGGGGCCTTGTAGAAACCCTTCCTGACAGGGCAGGGGATGTAGCTCAGTTGGTGGAGTGCTTGCCTTGCCTGCATGAGGCCCTGGGTTCAATCCCCAGCACCGCCAAAAAAGAAAAAGAAAGAAAGAAAACACTTTCTGAGAATCTGCAGCGTGAGCAGAAATGTAAGGGGTGGTATGGTGCTGGGGAGACTCAACTCAATCCCGGACCGAGTCGAAGACCTGGTGAGCACTCCAGGCCTTCAGCAGAGACCCAGAAAGGCCACGCTGCAAAGCCAGGTGATAAGGACTCTGCTGTGAGAGAAGACAGGGCTGACGCGGATCTACCCTAACACACCAAAGCCTCAGCCAGACCTCACAAGATCCAAGTACTCCGCTGCTGATCTAACCATCTGCCAGGACATACCTCAACATTCTTTGGAAAATGACCATAGACCCTACGACACATCACCCACAGTGTCAAAACACAACAGAAAATTACAAGACTGGTGAAGAGTCATGAAAAAGCAACCAACAACGGAGATAAAACAGTCAATAGAAGCAGACCAGAGATAACCAGAGTTCTCCAATTAGAACTTAGAAATAATCGTGATTAGCGGAAGTAGACCCAAGGATGGTTGGAATATTGGGTCAGCAAATAAGAACTTTAAAAATCGTTGTGAGTTGTACACTAAAAATAATCAGTATGACTACACATTAAAAGATTTTTCTCATAGAGGAAGAAAATGGATAAAGACAGTAATTCAAATAAGAATTAGAATCTATCAAAAATAATTAAACAGACAACAAAATTCAAACATTTCTAAAATTAAAAATTAATTTCTAAGGTTTAAAAGTAGGCTGGACACAGTAGAATCATAAACCAAAAATAAAACAATAGAAAATCTCCAAGAGACCCAGAAGGAACAAACAGAAAACTTAAAAAGAATTGAGTTCGAGGGAGATGTGGGAACCAGTTGTCTAAGTCATGGGTGATGGAGTCCCAGGAAGAGGAAGGAGAAGAAATCGGTGACTAAGTAATGGTCAGGGGTCCCCACCTGTG